AACCCCTTTTTACAAGATTTATGGACACCCTCGTTTGACCCGTTGGCAATGAGAGAAAAGAACAATGACAAGTTTAATGTTGATACTTCTTTATTTGATGTTCCAATAAACCCTAGTTCTGTTTTTCAAAAAACTGAGCATCCTTTATTTGTGTCCAATCAGCCTGAGGTTAATCTTGAACCCTCACATATAGATGTTGTTGTTTTTTTTCTTTGGTGTCAAGTCGGAACCAACTTATAGCGACACTAATAGGGCTTTCAAGGCAAGTGAGACATTAAAGGAGTTGTTTTACCAGTTCTGTTTGCCTAGTCAATTTCCACAGCCAAGCAGGGTATGAAACACATTATCCTCAGTCCTAGTCCATCACTCTATCCACTACACCACACTAGGAATCATATAGATGTTAGAATATGCACATTGTAAAGACAATTGTAGGGGAGAAGTTGGAGAAAACATTTGGATTTAATTAACTTGATGTGCTACCAATCTTTGTCAAATACTCAAATACTAGTCAAAGCAATTTATTCTGACAGTATGTGTGTCTGCTTTTTTGCTACACAAAACCGTCAGCATTTATGTGATTTCAAATTGTGAAACGCACCAAAAGGAGTTATGTAGTGGAGACAGGGCATATAAGGTTAAAGTCTAGAAATCGTTCTTTCTTTCTTTCTTTCTTTCTTTCTTTCTTTCTTTCTTTCTTTCTTTCTTTCTTTCTTTCTTTCTTTCTTTCTTTCTTTCTTTCTTTCTTTCTTTCTTTCTTTCTTTCTTTCTTTGTAGCATGGACATCCCCCATCCTCCAGCTTCCCTGTTCCCTTTGAGCTTATCTGCAAATCTGTCAATAACTGGGAAAGAAACAGATTTTCCCAGGAACAGTATGTTGTTGCAATTTATTCCTAATGTAATGCAAAGTATTTGAGGGTTTATAGGCACCCATTGGCCTGTGCATTTGGACTTTCCTTTTAGGGAGAAGTGGCTATGTAGGTTATCACATAAGCAACTACACTTCCAAATCTATCTCAACACCAATGACAAAAGTGAATTTCATGTGGATATATCTGTTTCTTCACTAAATGTACATGTAACAGGGATTGAGAGCTACCTTCTGTTTTCATGATACTGCACAGGTGGTTACAAAACATTTTAAACTCTACCAGATAGTACTTTGGTCAGAAATAGAGATCTCATCTGCTATTGATGTTTTTAACTATGTGCATTGTTGATTTCAATGGTTTTTTTTTTATGGTTTTAAGGATTTTATAGCTGAGTTGGGTTTTACTTGTTTTTATTCTGTGAATATTGTAAGCTGACTTGAGTGCTACTTTGTAGTGGAGAGGTGGATTATAAATATGACAAATAAATAGATATATAAAGCTTCATCAGCTGGTGACAATACTGAGTGCAAAGCAAGAATTTTTCTCACCACATATGATTTGTTGATTATATTATTTTATTTTGCAATTAGTCATCAGGACTTAGGCATGGAGTAACTTTGAGGTCTGCCTTCTCAAACATGACTGGTCCAGTAGTAGCATAATTTAACTCTAATCACAGGCTTAATATCTGTTTTTGCCCTGATAGGATGTGATTAGATGGGGATTTGATCTGCCATTTCGGTCTACTCTGGGGATGGGCTGGTTCACTCATTTCCCCATCAACTACATGACATAAGTGCCAGTATGAACCAGCCCACCCCCAGAGTATTCCTACCTGCATCTTTTTGGTACCTTGTTGAGGCCATTTTTTTATAGTGTGAGTAGGATTGCTCAGTTTTGTTTTAGTTCTGGTACACACACAATTGCTGGGATCAATCAAAAGCAGATGGCTTGCTTTCAATTTCCTATTGGAGATGGGAAGACTTCCTCTGCCCCTCCATAAACTGGGTTTATAGTCCTTCTACGTGAAAATCTGCAGTCTGCTGATTTCTTCACTTCTGTGTTATAATTTTAGGGCAGCAGGAACAATAATATTGCTGCCATGATTAAATAACTGATAGTCAGAATTCCCTACTAATGTTTTTCAAATCACTCAGAGATCTAACAGGAGATCCTGGTCCAGACATTGAAAAATTTACTTTTGGAGACAGCTCCCAAAATCCCAACGCCTAGGAGTCATGGCCTCAAAAAAGCAACATTTCTGTGTTGTGCTCACTTTAATCTAAGGGAAATGTCTGGGCGTTATTATTATTATGATTTTTACTGACAGATGATATTAGATAAAGATGGAGTTGGCTTTGTGAAGTATGCCCAGGATGACTGACCAGGCAATGCTTCATAAGAGTGCTGATGTCACTGACCTACACCTATGTTGGGCATGCATTAACCAGAACGTATCCAGCGATGTCACTGACCTACACCTATGTTGGGCGTGCATTAACCAGAACGTATCCAGCCATACAATTATATAGGGTGAACCTTACTGCTTCTGAGCTTTTGTTCTGCCTTTTAGGAGGCAAAAAGCACCCCTTCCCTAGCTTGTTGTCCGACACCAGTGGTCCCTTCTTATATGCTAAATGTCACCACTACTGCAAACTAAGCAAAAAAACACATTGGTCCAAGACCGATGCTAAATGTCACCACTACTGCAAACTAAGCAAAAAAAAACAAAACCATTGGTCCAAGACCACTGCTATGAAGCTAGCTCAGAGTAGAAGAGTAGCTCATAAGTGGAATGAAGAACAATTAGTTTGGTCCCCTCTAAATAAGCTTATTTCTTTAGTGTTGCCTGACTGCTTATACAACCAGATTGGCTCCTGATAGTTTAGGAAGCAGGTCACCACTACTGCAAACTAAGCAAAAAAAAACAAAACCATTGGTCCAAGACCACTGCTATGAAGCTAGCTCAGAGTAGAAGAGTAGCTCATAAGTGGAATGAAGAACAATTAGTTTGGTCCCCTCTAAATAAGCTTATTTCTTTAGTGTTGCCTGACTGCTTATACAACCAGATTGGCTCCTGATAGTTTAGGAAGCAGGGGTCCCCTACTGTGTTATAATTAGTGGTGCTTTCCCTCTCAGAATTTAAAGCTGAAGCTGATGTGCTGTAATTAGGAGCATACACAGAGTGGGAGGTGATTTGGGTGCAAAGTTAATGAACTGTAGCTTCCATTAATTGCCAAAGAATTCTAGTGTGTTGACTTCTGAATTAGCCAGTAGAGGAAACTTAGGAATGTTCCTAATTGGATGAGGCAACTCACCCCACCCAGTCTATGCAAAGTAACAAAATACAGGATCTTTTATTCAGAGGAGATGATTGAGCATATCTTTCAAAAATCAATGTTATGTTGCCTTCATTCTCAGAATTTGAATTCTCCTTCTATATTTTATTTCATCAGTACCTTGTGCAATTCTCCCCATATGAGGTAATAATTTGGCTTGTAGTCTGTAGCTATGTTTGACAGGAAGTAATTTCACAAGAAAGTTGGCTAGCCATCTGCCATATTAACTTGAATTCCTGCAATGAACAGGGGGTTGTTGTTGTTTCAATTTATACATCTCCCCATAGTGCTAAAACTCACTCTGTGTGGTTTAGAGCCTAATTATGCAAACTACATTCTACCCCCTAATTGAGCTGGGTACTCATTTTACCAACCTCAGAAGGATGACTGGCTGAGTCAACTTTGAGTTGGCTACCTGAACCTCTCAGGATCGAACTCAGATTGTGAGCAGAGGCTTGACTGTAGTATTGCAGTTTAAACATTGTACCATGAGGCTCAGAGGGACTGAGCTTGATAGCTTTATAGGCCTCTTCGAATTCCATCATTTTATGACTCTGTGATTCTATGGGATGTGCAAAATCATATCTGTGTTCCCTGTCTCTAGGAAAAATTCAGAGGAAGCAATGCCAAGAGCCAAAGCTGACAAAATATCTGGTGACCCTCTTTGACCCACTGAGGGCAAATAAAGAACTTCATTTTCACCTATGACTCATCAGCATTAAAATACAAATATAGTATTAAAGCTGTTGACATCTAAATTCTGGTCCACTTTAAATACACTTTCTGTGATCTACATATGCACAGATCTACTTTGAACAAGGAAAGCAAGCAAATGAAGGGACTTAAAAAAAAACTCTACATGAGGTTAAAGCAGTGGTCCCCAACCTTGGGCCTCCAGATGTTCTTGGGCTACAACTCCCAGAAACCTTCACCACCACCTCTTTTGGCCAGGATTTCTGGGAGTTGAAGTCCAAGAACATCTGGAGGCCCAAGTGATTAATTTTGGAACATAATGGGCAAAATCCTGTTCATGCTGGCATAAACATGCCAGGTGAACCGTGCAACAAAAAATTGCACAATTCAATTGCACTATCAGTGAGGCCAGTTGCACAGTGCTCCAGCTGACCTGCTTTGTGGATAGCACTTCCGCCTTGGTGCCATCTTAACTTCCACAGGTGCCGCATTGAGTTGAGCTCACATTGCTATTCAACTGGATTTTGCTAAGTAAGAATTATGTTAATACATATGTAGTTATATCTTGACACTGCAGCCACCCTGGCAGTACTTTCATCACATTCTGTTCAAAGGAATCATTTACTCTCCAAATCCAACCTTAAGAAAAATGAGCTCTATGAGTATGCAGAAATACTGAGCACAATGCTGATTGGCTGGGGACTGTGGAGGCACAAGAACATGAGAAGAGACATATCTGGTCCAGCATTCTCTTTTTATCATCTTTGGTCAACCAAAAGTCAATGAGAGACATAGACCGGTCTCCTCTTGTCTCTGGTAGAATTTTGTAATTCTGTGCTTTTTTTAAAAAGGCAACAAATACAACAGAATGAACCAACACTGAATTCATTGGCATATATATCTGTTGTTTACATTCCAAAGGCCAAAGACAACTGGGCTTACCTTAAAAAAATATGTTGTGACTCCTGTGTTAATGTTATATCAATATACATCATCCTGCCCCTTCTTGTTCCACTGATAAAGGTATTTTGGGAAACTATATTTCATAACAATGAGAATTACCTGTCACTGTTTTCTTTCTATCTTCTTTTCTCAGCTGTATGTGACCCTCCATGCCAGAATAAAGGATCCTGCAGTCGCCCTCAGCTCTGTATTTGCCGCTCAGGTTTCAGAGGCTCCAGATGTGAAGAGGTGGTTCCAGAACAGCAGTATCATCCTCCTAGCCTTGCAGCTGCCTTACAACCCCAATCAGGCTCCTTCCGAAGAAGAACAAGCAATGTAGAGAGAGAAGGACCACTAAGAGGAGAACAGTTACCTACCACACGGAAGCTACCAACTGAGTAAGTAGCTTCAGTTATGCATAAGAGTTACTACTTCCATTTGTAAAGAAATACAGACATGGAGATAAATATTTCATGGATTAAGAGTCTTGAGCCATAGCAGTTGCGGAAGGCAAGAAAAGGACAGACATACAAAAAACATAAGAGGAATTTGCAGCAAGAGGTCACTCCCTAACAAAAGTGCCTATAGAAGCTGGACAGGAGCAATTTTATCCAAGCTTCCATGCTTGGATAGGCATTCCCAGCTTAAATAAACATGTAGTCTCAAATTTATTTCTGAACATCTATAGGTATTTTCCTTATACTCTTCCCCCCCCACACACCCAATAGTACTTAGAAGAGCAAAATAGCAGCCTGAGACATATAATAGGGCAGGATGATAGATTTCTCTGCCGAGTGACTTTTGTTTTGCAACATTCTGTAGTGCTGTGAACTGTGAATGTTGAAACTGTGTGGTTAGATTGCATGGCACGGTTCTGCATGGTGAAGCATTTATATACTTATTTAACTTTTAAATGACCATCTGACAAATGGGGAGTGTACAACATAAGCAATATAAACATATAATTCATATAATTCACTCTCTCTCTTTTGGGGGAGTGACTCTCACTACGAAGAGTGAGGTTCATAGCTTTGGGGTCCAACTGGATCTGGTGCTTACCATGGAAACCCAGGTGACGTCAGTGGTCCGTTCCGCCTATTTCCATTCTGGCGGATTGCCCAGCTGAGTCCCCATCTTGATGTTGGGGTGCTCACCACTCTAGTTCATGCGCTTGTAGTTTCAGGATTAGACTACTGTAATGCGCTCTATGTGGGGCTACCTTTGAGATTGATGCAGAAGGTTCAAATGGTGCAGAACGCTGTGGCCAGACTTCTCACCGGGGTGAGAAAATATCAGCATATTCCCCCCACTCTGGCTGCCTTGCCTTGGCAGCCCATTCGTTTCCACATTGATTTCAAAGTGATGATGATGATGATGATGATGATGATGATGATGATGATGATGATGATGATGATGATGATGATGATGATGATGATGATGATAGCTTGACAATTTATTTATTTTTGATTTATACCCCGCCTGTCTGGGCGACTCGATGACATATAATGACATATAAAGCCCTAAACGGTTTAGGACCTTGATATCTAGTGGAACAGCTCCTCCCACCTAGATCTACCTGAATCACTCGTTCTAGCCAAGAAGGGCGGATGAGGGGCCTAATGCTGAGGGAACAGTCTGCCTGCAGAGATCTGCCTGTCTCCCTTGCTGGGTGTTTCTAAGAGCAAAAGACCTGGCTCTTTAGGCAGGCTTTCCTTCCTGTCATCTCTTAATTACTCTTTGCCATCTTGTTATTAATGTTGTCTTTATTTTATTATATTGCTTTTATTTTTATGTCTTATTGTTAGCCGCCCAGATGGCTGGGGTTTAAATCAAACGAACGAACGAACGAACGAACGAACGAACGAATATAATTGCCTGCTGTTAAATTAAAACAGCAGAAATGTCAGTGTCTTCTGTTGTTCTCACTTGTAGTGATTTATGGTTCTTTTGGCTTTGGAGAAAAGCCTGACAATGTGCTGTCAGTCACTGCTGAAGACACAGTAAGGAGAGTGGAACACAGGAAGGTTCTAGTGGCTGTGTCCTTGCCTCATCATGTCTGTCTGGACAAGACAACAGACTTATAACTGTGACATGGACTTTTTGGCAGAGTGGGATTGTTTTGGTCAAAAGTAATGAAGTAGTACAAAAATAAGGAAGGTTCTGCAACAAACTGTGCTTACAATGTGGTGTAAACAGAGTAAATTACTCCATTCCATTCTAACCTCCCACATTTCCATTTTGTTCTCTTAGCTAATTAGCATTCCATAGCCATTGAGCATGCTCAGTGGACAATTTATATCCTTTTCCCTACTTTAAATTATTTATTTATTTTGGTGATTCTGCTAAACTTGACTTCCTCTAGGTCTACTGATATTTCCCTCTTGTGCCTGAGTGTTGCTACATAAGTATAACTGCTCTCAGTGGAAAATCTGTGTGCATATGTAATAACTAGGTTTTTGATTAAAACCTTTATCTGTTATATAATCACAGTTAATGTTTTTATAATTTTGATTGACTGTGCTTGGTATTTTTGAATAACAATAACAACAATAATAACAATAAGAGTAAGAGTAATAACTCCACCGTCTAGTCAGTTACGACTTTTGACAACCCTTTCCAGGTTTGCTAGATGTAAAGGACTGAGAAGTGGTTTACCAGGCCCTTCTTTTGGTAGTTCACTATGATGGCGCAGCTTGGCCATTGGTTGGGACTTCTCCTGAGATGCACAGAGGGGTACCAATTACCAAAGTCTAATTCCACAAATAGATACCCAACTCACAAAACTATACTGTTGTTGTTTAGTTGTTAAGTCGTGTCCAACTCTTTGTGACCCCATGGACAGAACACGCCAGGCCCTTCTTCTTTCACTGCCTCCCGGAGTTGGGTCAAATTCAGGTTGGTAGGTTCGATGACACTGTCCAACCATCTCATCCTCTGTCATTCCCTTCTCCTCTTCCCCTCACACTTCCCCAACATCAGGGTCTTTTCCAGAGAGATTTCTCTTCTCATGAGATGGCCAAAGTATTGAAGCCTCAGCTTCAGGATCTGTCCTTCCAATGAGCACTCAAGGTTGATTTCCTTCAAAATGGATAAGTTTGATCTCCTTGCAGTCCAGGGGACTCTCAAGAGTCTCCTCCAGCACCACAGTTCAAAAGCATTAATTCTTCGGCGGTCAGCCTTCTTCAGATGTTTCCTAAGAAGGGGGAAGAGGAGAGGAAACCCTACAAGACACTGTATTTACTGCACATTCTATATTACAGTAAATTTATATATGTGTGCTTGGATTTATATCATTTTAAAAGTATTGTGAAAGTGCTGGGGTTTTTTGGAGAGTGAATTTTTATCAGGTATCTACTGTGTCACAGCTCTTAATGGAATTCTTTTCCTGTGGCTAAAGTCTGCCAACCCTGCTCACAGCCATGATGCATTAATCCATTGAAGTGAATGGAATTTAAACAGCATGTATACAGCAAGATTAGAGGTTAAATCTTTAATGAGAAGTGAAATGTGAACCATTGAATAAGATACAGACACACTGTGACCCCTCTTGATCTGCAACATGCTCTTAGATCTTTAGATCAGACCCGTATGTACTGTATATATTTCCTTTCCTAGTTGAGATGAAATTGTCCCCTAGATCAGTGAGCAGAGCATAAAGGCACCTTAATATCTCAATATGAATGATGCCTTAGGCAGCTTGATGGAGAACCGGCCACGTACATTTAGCTACTGAATACCGTGTCCAGACAGTCAGACACAGTGATTAGCAGGGAGCCTTAAATTGGGATTTTTAAATGCCCAGCTGCTTCTCCCTGCTTAAGATTTGCTGGCTCTGTACCAAGGAAATAGAACTCCACTAGTGACTGAATTTCTTGGGCTTCTTTTCTTTTAAAAGATTATTGTAATAGGAAAGACTCAAAATATCTTCTTACCCAACCACTGTCTTGTCACTTTAATATGAACATTTCAGACTTCAGTCTATTTTAAATTTCCTCCCTGCAAGTTGTTAAGAAAAGCAGGGTATGACTTCATATCTAAAAGCTAGAATTAATTCATCGTACAATTGTTCTTTTCATGTAGAAAGATCTTGTGGGTGAACTTGTAGCTAAGTTCGTTAATACAGTATGTATTTTCTGAGTGTGTTTTATGTGGAGTACTGATGAAGATTCCATACATGCTCCAAGGTAATTGAGGTCAGAAACAAGAGATCTGAAATATCCCTTAATTAGAGATGAAAGCGTGTTAATGTTGGAGAAGAGTGTGTGAGATAATCTTTCTGAAATCAGACTTTGTCCTGAAGACCAATCGCCAAACAAAGCAAGCTAATCTGCATAATTCTGGAAGTGAGAGGAGCTCCTGCTGGATATGCACATTAGCTAAAAATTCTGCTCTTCTGGTTACTGGCTACCTCTAATATCTGTATCTGCTTTCAGCACACTGGTACTAATTTAGGCTTGTATTCAGCTACATATTTATGTTAAATAGTATGTTTATTCAGCCACATTTTTTTGTAAAGTAGCTTGCCACTAGATGTGCAGCTTATAAATGAAATGAAATGAAATACATAACTAAGAGCTAGGGTAGTGTAGTGGATAGAGTGGTGGATCAGAACTCAGGATAAAAAGGTAAAGGTTCCCCCTAGGCATTTTTAGTCCAGTCGTGTCCGACTCTAGGGGGCGGTACTCATCCCATTTTTCAAGCCGTAGAGCCAGCGCTTGTCCGAAGACAGTTTCCATTGTCACATGGCCAGCGTGACTAGGGAACACCGTTTTACCTTCCCACCGAGATGGTACCTATTTATCTACTCGCAGTTTTTACATGCTTTCGAACTGCTAGGTTGGCAAGGAGCTGGGACAAAGTGACGGGAGCTCACTCAGTTGTGTGGATTCGATCTTATGACTGCAGGTCTTCTGACCCTGCAAGCACAGGCTTCTGCAGTTTAGCCCGCAGCGCCACCACGTCCCTCTGGATACCTGGGTTCAAATTCCTGCTTGCTTATGGAAACTCACTGGGGAGTGGCAGTGGTAAAAGTACTCCTTAAATAAAGCAACTGGTAATAGCAAGAGCCAGATCCAGCCTTACTGTTATGCATGATGAGGCAGCCAACTTCTGGCAACAAATTTTGGGTGCCAAACAAAGAGTAAAGCAGATTGTTGTTGCTGTTGTTGTTATTTTACTATGAGCATGATGTTATCTGGATTTGTACACTTAGGTGGCAAAATAGAATGGTTAGGTCTGATCCATAGGGGAGATTGGGAAAGAAGTGGTTTTCTGGGAAAGAACTAATTTTCTGCGCTTAGCTCTGTTGATGGAAAATGCCATTAATGCCACTTGTGTGGGCTGTTTTCTTTTTTCTTTTAATTGCTCATTAGTATCAAGGGACCCATTCAGGATTTAA